ACCTGTAGCCAAGGGGCACTCAGAGAGGTGGGAATTTTCAACTTAGTTTTAAGGGCATCAAAAGCAATGAGAAAAAAATCATTTCTAATCTCAGTCTTAAAACTGAACCCTCGCTTCTTATTATAAATGAAGGGCAGATGTCACTATTATTGGGAGATGCCTTCTGGAAGTAAGATCCATATAACCAAATGAATTACTTCTATATAAAATCTGGCACTTCTTCCCTGCCTGCCACTGAGAAATGCTCCGCTTTCTTCCCATGTTTCTATTCCCCATGTTGGACTATTTTTTATTTCCCCTTTCCAGGTTCTTATAACCTTTCCACCTATCCTGTCCTTTGGTTCTACTTTTTCTCATCTCAACACCTTGTCACATCTTTGCCTGGATCTCATAGTTTCATAGTTGTTAGGGGCTGGAAGGGACCTATATGTGTTTGAGAATCTGGATCAGAGTGTTTTTCCTGTTTGTGCAGGCACGCTGGGATCTCCAAGGGAGAGAAGCCAAGATGCAGATAAGGGAGCTGCCATACTATGTTGAGAATGAAGGAAGATGAGATCAAAATGAGGAAGACAAGAGCTTCTTTTCTCCCTCTCTTACAATCCCAGATGAGGGGAAGGAGAAGAAAGAACTCACTCAGTTACTTTCCCCTCTCTTTGGGGAGGAGGAACAGGAGAAAGTGGCAGAAACAATGGTCTGCTCTTACATTGCACTAGTGAGAGGAAACCAATCCAAAGCTTCCAGCCTGGTAAAGCTCATCTAGACCCCAAAACAAACACTCAGGTTTTCCTAAAGTTCATCTAGACCCCAAGACAAACACTCAGGCTGGGCTCACTGCTTGCCACCTTCTGACAATTCCTTTGGGACCCATTTTTCTTGGCACTTTGCTATTGTGTAGGCACAATGGGGAAAAAAAATCCATGAATCCTTATAGTTGTCAGGAGGGCCCCTAATTTAGATAGACCAAGTTCAGAGGAAAATTATTACTTGTACTTTTTAAAGACTAGAAAAAGTCTTTTCCTCTTTGCTTTTTAAAAAATGTTTGTGCCCCGCCACACTTCCAGGTTTTGTCCAGAGCTGAAAGCAAAAAGATCAAAATACCCAAGAGGAACAGTGGTGGAGCAAGGAGACAACCTTTCACTATCCTTCCGCTCCACCCACAACCAACAAGAAAAGGAAATCTCCAGAGAAAGGCTATTCTTAGAAGACTTCCAGCCTAATTTCTTGATCAAACAAGACCAGATATGTTCAGATAATGCTCTGAACTTTCGGAGCCTTTCCAAGTCATATATTCTGGTGGTGTCCCCATCATCATTAGTTTGCATTGCCTACTAATATTAAACACTCACTGAACTTCAAAGCAGTTACCGATCAGGACTTTAGTGCATACTGTCTACATACCCAATAAATTCTTATAAAAACTATTCTATTGTGCTTGTGTTTTTATTTTAAGACATGGCAAAGCCAGAAAAACGAGTTGAGCATTACCTTTATGTATCCAAGTTTTTCGCAGGGCTGCTGTGTGTCACAATCCTGATATTATTTAAATGCAGGATGCTTTTGTTTTCAATATAAGCAAGCAGTAGGAAACACTGTAATTAAATTGGGGTTTTTTTTCCTCCTGCAATATACCCTCCATCAGTCCCAAGGTGGCATTCCCATCTGACCTCACTTTAAAGTGTTTTTTGTCAACTAAGAAGTCCTTTAATGAACATCCTTATAAACAGGAAGGATTTTTTTTTAAGTTAGCTGAAAAACGAGGCTGCTTTAAGAGAAAATTGATGTTCATTTCCCAAAGGGTTTGTCCCTTTTGGCTTATTTGTGATCACTGAAATGACTAATGGATTATACTTTCTGGAAATCCATGCCAGACAGTCTTAATTGTACCCCCTGGGCTTGTTGTTCTGTACATTGTCATTTTGTGCCCTTTATCCATTTGTGAATGTGGTCACCTCTCCTCTGTAGGCCTGGGCTAGTGATGCTGTTGCAGCTATATTTGAGGGCACTCTGCTACAACCAGAGCAGATCCTTAGGAGGTTAAACTTCTTTAGTTATCACTGACTTCAATGCACCTAACCTGCTTTACACCACCTGACCATCTAACTGAGTTTATCTGAGACTCCCTCTGTAACATCAGACTTTATATTCTTGGGGCCCAGACACTACTAATCTAGGCCTAATTCCTCTGCCCTCAGTAGTAACAAACCATGTGCAAGGTTGAAAGTATAGTTCTGATTCATGCATGCTGTGTTGAGCAGTACTAAATCTTTGGAAAAAACCCAACACTCTCTGTGAAGGGCGTGGAAGAACCAGTTATTTCTGTGAGGAAGAGTCACGTGTCCTGCCTAACATAGCTATGCCATGCTGAAGACTGTTTTGAATACAGCTGTGATTTTTTTATTGCTGGTGTCAGAGGCATCAGGAGGTAAGTCTCCAATCAACGGTCTCAGATTCCCCACTCTGGGCATGACTTACTGCCTCTCATAAATGTTAGCTCTTCATTAATTCATTGCAACTAGGAGGGTGAGGCATGTCCTTGGGGGAGTGATGCTATGCACCAGCAAAGAAGAACCTCTACCCTGGGGCCTGAGTGCTACTCCCATTTTACTTTTGAAACTACAGCATACAACACTGCACCTGAACCAGGGTGTTCTATATACAGTAAAACAAGGAAAACACAAAAACCTTATGATAGATTAATTTATGTTTCTTTTCCGCACTTAGCATTTTGTTATTCCTTTCCTGCATTTTTCTTTTTCTTCTCCTGTTTGACCTTTTCTGGTGAAGAAATACTGTTTATTCTGTTCCATATACATTACTGTGATTCTACCAAAGTGCTAATAATTCTTGGAATATGCAAGCAATTCCCTCTGCCTTACAAAATAATGACTTGCATTTTCCCATGCATCTGTTTCTTAATGTGTCCTAATATTTTCCTCTGAGGCATATTGAGGCTCACTGTACCAATTTAGGGTTGATTTCTTTTAGTGAATTCAAAAGCCAAAATGAGATGTGGTGTTTTTTAACACTGAATATTATGTTGCTAATAAACTGAAATTACAGTCTTAGTCCCCAGTAAATAACTTCAAGTTCCACCTGTCCAACAGGAGATTCACATTAAGAGTCAGACAGTTAAAACTCTACCTTACTTACCAAGTATTTTACTATATTACGTAAGTGCAGAACATAAACCCACAACTTCCTTTTGTTTGCTTCCAATATCACTCATCATTCACCTGTACTACTCCCTTTTCTTCCTACATTCTCCTTTATTCAGAAAATGACTTCACCAATTGAAAAAGACAACAGGATTGAAATCCTGGCCCCAATTACGTCAGTGGGAGTTTTGCCACTAAGACCTATGCTTTCAGACTTTTTTTCTCTTGAAGATTAAAACTGAAGGCATGATCCTGAGTGATGACTTTTAAGTATGGGCCTTTAGTTCAGTTGCCCATCCTAAGGGTTATGGAATCTTTTCAAATGTACAAAAAAGGAAGTAGACTTTTCTGTAATTTAAAACAGTACAAGAGAGGTAACCAGAATTAACAGCTGGAAAACTTCATCATCATGTCTGCTCTGTAGATCAGAATCCTACCACCCTTCTCTGTTAACCTCACTGGATTCAAGTCAGTGGTTTATGCCATAATTCCCCTAGTACCATGTTGATGTATACACACAGAGGACTCAATTACACAACCAAACTGTGCGCTGACAGGTTCAAAGGTAATTTGGTATTAGGTCAAATGAGACACTATAGTAAAAATATGTGTCTCCCTAACAGTTACGATGTCCTCAGGCTTTTATTCTGTATACCTAACTAGGCAAAAATCCAAAAAGATAATACAGAATATTAACCAAAAAACCCACAGCTTGTTCTTTTGCTTTCCAAACCTGAAAGCCATTATCTCCATATCCCTACCTACTACCACACATTCCAGAGTACGGTTTAAACAGATGGTAGCTAACTACCAATCCATTTGCAGTTCAAAACAATGGTGAAGGGCCCCAGCTGTTTTCCAGATCTAAAATATTATTGTCATTTTGCTATCACTCTGTGATGAAGGTTATGTAACAAAAATGCACATGTCCCTCAGCCTGGAATGCAATTAATTTCCTCCCTCCCCACTAAGGAGTTGTAAGTTGTAAGTAACCATTCAGACTGTCTGAGTATTTCATTTTAAGCACTGCCAGAGATAGAAAACTGGAGCTGTTCCAAGTAGTAACCTATTCTTTGTTACATGCAAATCTTCTGGAGCTTTTAGAGGTGCAGAGTAGTTTTTAGTTCAGAAAAAATAAATGCCACCGTCCTGTTTATTTAGGACTGCTCACTGGTTATAGTGTACTAAGACAGTTTAGTTGCACTTCTTTTAAATGTGGACTTTGCTTTGCACTGGAATTTTAAGTATGACGCACAAATACGCCAACTACAGAAAAGAATTATTTGCAATCTGAAACCCGTTCAGTGATGAACCCTTGGCATACAAATGGACAGCTTTTTAACTTTATGAAGTTTAAAACGTAGTGTAGTGCATCTAATTTACAATTCCCAAATGCTACCGATTGCTTTGGGTTAAATTGAAGATTATATGAACTCTAACCATTTAATGCTACTTTATTATATAAGAGACTAAAACAGACTGTCTCAAAGCAGCACACTACAAAGAAGTAAATTTCCCAGTTGTTTTTATTGTCCTTCTTCAGCAAGATCTCAATGATCATTGAAAAGATGGGAAGTGCAATAAGATGTTCAAGACAGGGAATGTCTTTTGCCACGATTTACATGGTGGTTCACATAGAGGGATGCAGTATAAATAATAATAAAAAATAATAAAGTTGAATGAATCATTTTGTCCATATATGCCAGCTGAGAAGAAACATGAAACTAACATTCAACTCTAAGTTGAACTTTGAAGTTTTATTACTTAACTCAGCTGGGTCTGCATTTCTGCCATGATCTACAGCTTACTTTTCATGCAGAGCTTCAGTGGTTTTGGGATTCTTACCTAGTTAAATACTCGAGTGCCAACTCAGACCCTGATGGCTTTTTGGTCTCCTCTTTCTTAGCAGAGATTCCAGCTTCCCGCATCAGTTTTTTTTCTTCCTTCTTACGCTCTTTCTTTAATTTTCTTTCCAAAATCCTCCTTTCCTCTGCAGACAGCTCCTTCTCTTCCTCTACTGCTTTCGTTGCCTGAAAGAAAAAAAAAATGAAGATATTTCAGAAAAACTTTTATGCTTAACTTCACGATATGTACATTATACAAGCGAGTAAAACAGACTGTCCCTTTTTAAAGTAAAACACTACATATAAAGAAGTATATCTCCCAATGCAAACTTTTTACTGTCCTTCTTCAGCAAGAGCTCAGTGATCACTGAAAGGATTGGAAATGCAATACTACAGTTCAGTACAGTATTATAATATTACTATGAGGAAATGAACCATGGGACAAAACATAACTTCAATTTTCTGAAGAAGGAGCAACGGAGGTGTTTCATTACTAGGAAATTCTCACTTGAGAACTTTACTGTATTGAATATCTATCAGTGTACTGCACTTTCAAATGTGCAGTATTGTCAATCATGACACTAGCCTTCGGGAACATTTCTGTTTTGTTCCATCCATTGCTCTAATACCACACTCATCGCCATAGTGTTTGTGCTTTTCAGTTGTGACAAGGTTAAAAGCCCTCACGTGTTATTTGTTCTCACCTTTTTCCCTAGTGGGAGCAGTGTGTGCAGTGGATTTTTTTGGTTGTTATTATATTTTTAACATACATGTGCTGCTGTCTGCTTATACTAGGGAAGGTAAAAAAGGTCAAACAAATCTCCCTTGAATGCAAGTGAAAGTTCAAAAGGTTTATCACGGTACTTAGCTCCTCAGGGAGCCCATTGCACAAAAGCTCTGTCTTCCACATGAACGTACTTGCCCCTTATTGTAGCAAATCCCATTATGATAGAGCTGTCCAGTTCACTACCATCTTCACAGTAGAGGTACAAGCGATCTTTTAATGGTCTGGACCCAGGATATCTAAGCGTATTGATAAAAGCTGAGATTCTGTACCTTGCTTGTATCAGCTTTCTTCCACTGGCCTACGGGGATTATGCCCCCAGCCCACTCCCTCCCCATAATCTTAAATCAGTGAGGACTACACCTTAGCCCTCTTTTCATTCAGGTACTACTAACAGTCAATCTATTTAACAGGATTATGGAGTCCTCTGCCACAGCTACCCACCAGGGACACCAAAATGCTTTCATTCATATCTGACGCAAAGATCTACATTCACTGGATTTCAGATGCAATTTTCTTTGGGTGTTTGGATTCTTAAATCCCTGGGGGACAACAGGACTTTGGATGCTGGGAACCACCTATTAACATGCATTGTACCAGCAACAACTGGACACTGGAGAATGGGGACCTAACAAGCAGCATCCCAGACTTGGAGAATCTCTCTGCCAAGAACAATGCAATCAGTGTGGATGAATGATGCTAGAACTTCAATTGTTTTTTTTTCACACGGTTGCTATTCTGGCAGGTCCTCCACAGAGCCCAGAACAATATTTTGTCAACCCATTCCTTCTCAGTGGTTTCTGGAATTGCTCCTTCTCCATTTCCATGCTTCAAGCACTATTTTGAGTATGGTAGTAGGCCTTTGTCACTGGGTCGCCTTCCCCAAGCTGCAAAAGCAACTTAGTGGCAGGAGCAAATAAAAGCTGATGCTCTCTAGAGTGAAATCTGTTTCTACAGATAACATACAGCTTTCCTTTTCCTCTTTTCTAGGAGGAAACTTTCAGAATGGAAAAATCCTGAGCAGAGGGGTCTGCATGTGATAGATGAAAGGAAGAAGGAAAAATGTGCATGTGAATGGAATATTTTAGGAGTCATGAAATCTTGACATATGGATTGGACCAAGTAACTGAGCAAAAAGAAGGGGAAACAAGCTGTCGGGAAGTTTACACAGAAGTTATTTCCTGATGTCTCCCTAGTCAATCCTCTGGCTCCGTGGTTCTTAAGCCAGGGTACAGAGACACCTCTTTGCCGGCCTCCAAAATCATCAGGGAAGGAAATACCACAATGATGAAAATGGGAAAGGTAGGAGGGGAAGTGGCCCGTGTGAAATTCTCTACTATGTAATTTGTAGCATGAAACAAAGAGCCAATGCTCTCTTCCTTCACAAAGTCATGTTTCAGATGGGCAAAGAATGATCCTGACTCATTTCTAGAAATACAAGATCAAGTGGAATTTTAAAAATTCTCTTACGAAGATAGCTCCCTTATCTCTGGCACATGCCAGAGGACCATTTCTTATAGTAATACATTTGTTATTAAACCCAAGGTATGAAGATACTTTGTATCTTAATAAAAAAAGATATCTTTGTAATATTTGACTTCAGCAATTTGTTTCCAATTGCTGCTATCAAAACACATTTCTAAATCATGGCCCTGTTATGGATTGGGGTAGACCTGTACAAAGTTATGTCCATCAATTTTGTTTTCTGCCTTCCATTTTGTATCTGATCAGACTTTGTGTTTTGTCTCTACTGCCAGTTTATAGTAGTATACGTATAACCTAACTGAGGTATATAACAAGGTCCCGAGAAGGAGGGCGTGCAGCTCATCTTGTGGAGAGCTAACACATGAATACAGTTATCAGGGACTACTGACTTGTTCATGATTCCTATCCATTAGCCCACTGCCCATGAAACACAGGTACTGTGCATGCGAACACAACATGCCTAGGACACAAACTTTTATCTGGGAATTCTGGGTGCAAGAGACTGACTAGAGCACGAGGACCTTCCTACAAGGCTGACAAGGACTAACCTGAACATGGAGAGACTTCTGACACAAATGGACAGATAAAATCAATGTAAGGCAGAAACAGGGAAGTTTGGGGTTGGGAGAAGGTGGGCACAGGAGTGCTGCAGTGAGACGTCTCACATTTCTATAGAAGGTAGGCAGAGAGTCTGCACCCCAGGAGTGTTCCTGAGAGTACAGAACTACGGTGGTGTGTGGATCCTGCCCAGATCCAGCTGATCTGAAAGCATGTGGGATCCAGCTGTTGGGTCCAGTTAGAATAGCCTCGTGGCTATTCTCTAGGGCAGTAGCTCTCAACTTTTTTTGTACCAGGACCCATCTGTAAACATCAGTGGCCAGTCCCCACCCGATGCCCCTCACTCCTGACCGCTGCCCCCAGCTCCACCCCGCATATGAGATATTTAAAGGGCTCTGAATCTCCCTTTTTGCTTTGAGAAGGCATTCACAAGGTATCCAATCAGTTAGAAATGAATCGTTTTTAGGAGACTATCAGGTGCGTATCAAGTTTCTACAGCCCGACAGTATTCAGAGAAGGGTGTCTGTGCCCGATAGCTTGTAAAGAACAATTTTTCCAACTATTTAGTTGGTCTAATAAAAGATATCACATTTACCCAAAGAATCTTGTCTGCTTATGAAGTGCCAAATTCTTAACATGTCATCAATTAATATTTGTGAAGTGGTTTAAGGTGACAATCACAATGTAACTGCTAAGTGCCATTATTACTAGCTATATGAACGGGAAGGGTGTGGTGGGTAAGACAAGGCCAAAGATACCTGCTGAGGACTAAACATTTGTTCTGTCTGCATTCCCATATCATCAAGGTTTACTCTGACTTGTCTTTGCAGCTTGCTGTTTTCAAAGTCTAACTGATCTCAATAGGGGCAAGAAAGCACTTGACTAAATGGGGGTCAGGGAAGTTTAAGAAAGGAGCTTTGATTTGTTCTCTTCCAGAAAGGAAGAAAGGTTGCAGCCCACGTCCACGTGCAAACACACGTACACAGGTTAAGCAAAGCAGACATTACATTTGTACAGGAGCCCTTTTAAAACTCATGCTGAAAAGAATTAGTATTTAGGATAAAAGCAGGAAGGTACTTATTTTACAGGAAGCAAAGTTTTCATTTGATAAGCCCATTCCTGCATTTACTGAAATAACAATGTAGTCAGGCGAAATCCAAAAAACATAGGCTACACTCATTCCTAAAGTGTTTGTAGAAGATTACTACAGCAGCCGTCCCCTAGAGAACAAACTGCACTTAATTTTCTTTTACAAATAATGCAATGAATCTGTTTACTTTTCCTTGAGCCCCAAAGCTTTCAAATAAAGTGACTGTGGCACATCATTACAACAGTTCTGATAAAGAGGCCTCTGCTTCCTCATGCTTACAGTAAATGCATATCTCAGTACCTTCCCTTCCCTTCCCCCTCACATTCCTCACATTATCAGAAAGCTCTTTATCCCTTCCCCAACTGCTCTCCAGTGAAAACAAGACAAGTTGCTTGTACCCCTGTAACTAGGGCCCAATACAAAACACGAATCCAGGCAACATTCACTTCTGGGCAATCGAAACAAAGGCACTGCTCTTCATTTATATTGGAAATTTTCCAGTGTTATAAGTGTCAGGGTTAACACATCAAGGTTCTCTATTGAGAGAATACACTGTAATTCATTCCAATTCAAATATGATACATTAAAGTTGCAAACACTTTCCTTATGAAAATGCCAACAATTTTATAATTCATGGAAGCTTTCTATTTACTAATTCTGTTTACTTTTACCAAATCATGCTAGTTTCATCAATCTGGCTAATATCTACTATTATCCAGCCTTATTATAATTATCTGGAAGCCGGATGCTTTAGTAGCATAGTAAAGTACACCCATTTTGGAGTATATATTTCCTGAAGTTAATGGTAATTTTCTCAGTGACTTTAACAGAATCAGGACCAGACACTTAACAAGAAAAAAATCGGACTTAAGTTATTTTCAAGACATGTTATATTGAATTTAAGTTGAATGAACTGTGTTTTGATATCCTACTGTTGTACCCAACCTTTATTAAACCAATAAAAGTACCTTGTATCTTGTTCAATCTAGAATCTGATATCTTATTGTTAGTGTTCCTATCCTTTATAAAACCAATTCTTTATAAAATGAATAATAGTAGCTTTTGATTCTGCCACAGTATTAATACAATCATTTCTCTTTCTTGCTAATGCAAGCTAACTGCATATTGTATCTTTGATTTGAATTCAGCTTTTCAAAGTTCAGATTCAGAGTTTTCATTTGGTCTTATCTTTATTTAAAAAACAAAATTAAATCCATTCTTTTATTTACACTGCAAAGTATTCCAGTTATCTTATTTCATAAGGGGACA